CCTGTACAGGGTCGCTATGGATCGGAACCGACTCGACGGCACTTAATAACAACAACAACAGAGGGGATTATAATTTCAATGAAACGAAATATGATAGGGTGAGTGTAAAGCTGATGTTCTCTCATGTAAATCTCACAATAAAAACTTTTAAAAAAATGGGGACGGCAGGTGGAACTAATTTGCTGTGCAAACTTCTACCTAAAACAAAAACAAAAAAGGATGAGAGTAGGATGAAAGGGCACAGGAGCCAACCTGAAAAGGTTCCAAATGGCTAAACAACTTGAGCAACAAAATAATGATTGTTGTTAAGTGCTGTCGAGGTGGTTTTCCAAGCCTCAGCGACTCTGTATAGGGTTTCCGAGGAGCAGCTGGTGAGCCTGAAGCGCCACCTTGCGGTTCAAACCGACTTTGCAGTCCAGCGCATTAACCCACAGCACCACACCAGGACTCCAAAATGAGGACAGTTTATAACTCAAAAGAATAAAATAAATATCCTTGAGCTCATTTTAATGCAAAATTTAAAAGCAATTGCCATTGAGTCAACTTTGACTCATGGTGAACCCATGTGTATCAGAGTAGAACTGTGCTCCGCTGGTTTTCAGTGACTGTTTTTTCAGAGTAGATAGATCGCCAGTCCACCTCTGGGAGGACCTGAACCACCACCATTTTAGTTAGCCACCAAACACCTAGCCATTTATGCCACACAAGGACTCCAATATAAATAAGACACTGAATAAATAAATATGGGGAAGGGGGAAAAAAACTCCTTATAGAAGGATTCCAAATAATAAATGTTGTTAGGTGCCATTGAGTCGGTACCAACCCATAGCTGCCTTATGCACAACAGAATGAGACACTGCCCGGTCCTGGGCCAGCCTCACAATTGTTGCCACACTTGAGCTCATTGATGCTGCCTCTTGGCCAATCCATCTCACTGGGGGTCTTCATCTCTTTCTCTGACCTTCCACCTTACCAAACCTGATATCCTTCTCCAAACAACTGGTCCCTCCTGACAACATGCATGAAGTATGAAAGGCGAAGTTTGTCCATCCTGGCCTCTATGGAGCTCTCTGGCTGTACTTCTTCCAACACAAATCTGTTGGTTCTTTTGGCAGCCCATGGCACTTTCAATATTCTCCTCCAACACCATAACTCAAAAGCATCAATTCTTCTATGATCTTAAATATTCACTGTTCAGCATTCGCATGTGTATGAGGTTGTTGAAAATACCATGGCTTGGGTCAGGCTCACCTTAGTCCTCAAGCTGACATCTTTGTTCTTCAACACTTTAAAATGGTCTTATGCAGCAGATTTGCCTAATGCAATATGTCTTTTGATATCTTGACTGCTGCTTCCATGAGTGTTGATAATTGATGCAAGAAAAGTCCTTGACAAGTCCTTCAATTTTTTCTCCACTGATAAGAAGGTTGTTTATTGGCCCTGTGGTGAGGATTTTTGTTTTCTTTACATCGAGATGCAATCCATACTGAAGGCTGTGCTCTTTGATCTTCATCAGTAAGTATTTTAAGTCCTCATCACTTTCAGCAAGCAAGTGTGTATCATCTGCATCTGACAGGATTTTAATGATTCTTCCTCCAATTCTGATGCCATATTTTTCTACATATAACCCAGCTTCTCAGATTATTTATTTAATTAATAAATGTAGAAGAATTTGAAGAAGAAATCACATTGGTAATTGCCACAGGCAAGATGTACTGGTGTTGTTAGGTGTCCTTGAGTAGGCTCTGACTCAGCAACCCTATGTACAATACAATGAAACACTGCCCAGTACTGTGCCATCTTCACCATCATGCGTGAACCCACTGCTGCTCCACTCTGCCAGTCCATCTCATTAGCGTCTTGCTCTTTCACACTGACCATTGACTTTACCAAGCATGATATCCTTCTTCAGGGACAGGTTCCTCTTGATAATATGTTCAAAGTGTGAGAGACAAAGTCTCAGCATCTCCTGATTACTAAGGAGCATTTTGACTGTACTTCTTCCTACACAGATTTGTTCTGGCTGTCCTTAGTATTTTTATAGTCTCCAATACCATAACTCAAATGTATCAACTCTTGATGGGCTTCCTTTTTCATCATCCAACTTTCATATGCATATGAAATTATTGAAAATACTACGTTTTGGGTCAGGTACAACTTAGTCCTCAACTGACATCTTTGCACTTCAGTAACTTAAAGAGGTCTTGCGCAGCTGATCTACTTAATGCAGTATGTCATTTGCTTTTTTGACTACTACATCCATGAGTATTGATAGTGGATCCAAGAAAAGGAAGTCTTTGACACCTTCAACCTTTTTTTTTTTTCATTTATCATGATGTTTATTGGTCCAGTGGTGAGGATTTTTGTTTTCTTGACATTGAGGTCCAATCCATATTGAAAGTTACGGTTTTTCTTCTTCACCAGTAAGTATTTTAAGTCCTTTTCACTTTCAGCAAGCAAGGCTGTATCATCTGCATTGCACAGGTTGTTAATGAGTCTTCCTCCAATCCTGATGCCACGGTTTTTTTTCATATAATAAAGCTCGAATTATTTAAATAAACACAGATTGAATAAATATGGTGAAAGACTACAGCCTGGCGCACACCTTTCCTAATTTTAAACCATTCAATGCCCCTTTTTCTGAACAACTGCCTCTTGGTGTCTGTACAGGTTCCTCATGAGCATAATTAAGTAATCTGAAATACTGATTCTTTGCAATCTTATCCATAGCTTGCCAGGACCCACCCAATCAAAAGCCTGTGCATAGTCAGTAAAGGAGAGGTAAACATCTTTCTGGTATTCTCTGCTTTCAGTCAAGATCCATCAGATGTCAGCAATGATATCCCTTGTTCCACATCCCCGTCTGAATCGGGTTGAATCTATGGCAGTTCTCTGTCAATGTACTGTTGTAGCCTTTTTTGAATTATCTTCAGCAAACTTTTACTTGTATATGATATAATGACATTTTCTGAAGATTTCCACATTCCGTTGGGTCACTCTCTGTTCTTTGGAATGGACACAGATATGGACCTCTTCCAATCAGTTGGTCAGGTAGCTGTCTTCCAAATTTCTTGGCACATATGAGTGAGTACTGCGTCAGTTTTCTGAAAGATTTAAATTTATATTCTGCCAATTCCTGGAGCCATGTTCCTGGTCAGTGCCTTCAGTGCATGTTGAACTTCTTCCTTCAGTACCATTGGCTCTTGATCATATGTTGTTGTTGTCGTTAAGTGCCGTGGAGTCGGTTCCGACCCATAGCGACCCTGTACAGGGTTTCCGAGGGTGTAAATATTTATGGGAGCAGAAAGCCTCATCTTTCTCCCGTGGAGCGGCTGGTAGTTTCGAACCGCTGACCTTAAGGTTCGCAGCCCGATTCGTAACCACTACGCTACCAGAGCTCCTTGATCATATTTACCTCTTGAAATGGTGAACACCAACTATTTGATACAGTGACACTGTATTCCTTCCATCTTCTTTTGATGCTTTCTGTAGTTTCTATGATGACCCCTAATGATCCTCACATCCTGGTTTTCACACCCAGTACCAGTGGAATTCCCGCCTCCTGAGTAGGTAATGGCATGCGATTTCTGCCGTTAGGTTGCAAAGAGACGCTGTTTTCATGCTTCTTGCTATCCTGTCCAGTACCAGTGGAATTCCCGCCTCCTGAGTAGGTAATGGCATGCGATTTCTGCCGTTAGGTTGCAAAGAGACGCTGTTTTCATGTTTCTTGCTATCCTGTTCCTTTCTCATCATATTGTGTTAGCTATGCTGTGCTATAATTTGCTTTTCCACTCAGTATCAATTAAATGCGACATCAGACTGCTAAGGTATGTATTATTTCTTATCCCCATTTTACAGATTGGAAATCTAAAGTTCAGAGTCTATGTCATTTGCTCAAGGTCATAGCAAGTCATGCTTTGTGCTTTGAACCCAAGCAGTATGACTTTAGCATGTGCTCTTAACCTTCTATCGCCGTCGTTGTTAAGTGCTGTTGAGTGGGTTCCGACGCATAGCGACCTGCATAGGGTTTCCAAGGAGCGACTGGTAAGGTTGAACTGCCAACCTTTGCAATTCAAACCGACCTTCAGGTCGAGTGCTTATACCTTGGCGCCACATACCCTCTCTGATTTGTTGTGGACATAGTTCCCTGTGTGTTTCAAATATTCTTCAGTATTTGAAAAATGGTCAGATAGAGGAGCATGATATAGACGAACTGTTAATGAACATTTCCCTGTGTTGTCTTGACTCCTTTCTCTCTCTCTAGCCCTCAATCGATTCTCCAACCACCTCCTCTGTCCCACGGGCACCAATGATGACTCGACGTGGAATTAACTCAGACTGAGATCATCCTTTCTCCTCTAAATATGTTCCCATCTGCGTGGTAATGCCAGCATCCACCAAGTTACCCAAGAGGAGGAAGGATTTAGATTAAGAGAGAACAGAATGTCAGTGTTTGGGTCAGTAGCATAGGGAAGAGTTAAGGTAACCTTGTTCAGAAAAAAAGGGGACGGGTTAGCGCTGGGCAGCTGGAGGAAGTAAGTGGGAAAAGGGAGGATGAAGGAGCCAAATTTAGGCTACTGGATTCTTAGCTACTCTTCACCAAGGCAACTGCGTTGCTATGGCAACTGGGAAGGCAGCTCCGCCGCGCTAAAGTACCTCGTTGGTTTCCGTTACCCCCACACTAGGCAGACACTTCCGCACGGGGAGAAATCAAGGGGTTGAGGACCTTCAGGAATTGCTTCGGGAGGCGGGAATTGCCACTGCGGCAGCCAATCAGCTCTAGCCTGCTCCGGGGACTGCGCGACGAAGGAGAGCTTGAGACATCTTTGCAGCTCACCGAAAGACGCTTTGAGGGCTGGCTTGCGTCCCTTCTCCGCCACTTAGGAGTCGAGGGGGCGGGGCTGGGGTGAGGCCGATCGGGGGCGGGGCCCAGGTTAAAAAAAGTGAACTATCCCGCCCACCCTCGCTTGTGCCCAATAGGAAGCCAGAGAGCGAGTCCCGACGGTTGGAATGCCCAATGATCGCCGCGTCTTGGTCCCGGTGCGGAACTCACCGAGCCAATCGACGGCAACGGCGGGCGGGCGCGGGAGACTAGGCGGTGCGGCGGAGGCGGAGCGGGCGCTGCGGCAGGAGGGAAGATGGCGGACGAGGAGAAGCTCCCTCCCGGCTGGGAGAAGCGCATGAGCCGCAGCTCAGGTGCCGCGGAGGGTCGGGGCTAGGGTGGGGCCGTGTGGGCCCATGGAAGCAGGGCTGAAGCTCGCCCATGGGGCGCGGCGCTGCCGTCTCTCTCCCATGGGGTCCTGGCTTCTCTGCGTCGTTCCCGGTTAACGGCCCGGCCCACCCAGTGGGATTTCCGAGCCTCCAGAGCGGGGAAGCTGGGAAAACCGAGGCACGGCAGGGCTAGAGGGGCGAAGTGCACTGCGGGACGGGTGAGAGGCCGGTGAGCACCACACTCCCCCGGCCAACGACCCCGCCCTTGCCCACCGGCGGACATCCCCTTAAGGGGGCATCTCTGTACCCCGCAGTACCTAAGGAATCCCTTGGGGGACATCCCGGCCCCATGCTTAGGGTGTGGCCCCTGGGTGTTCCCCGGCACAGAGCCCACAATCCCTAGCATCCACACCTAAGGCTGAGTCAGCCCGGCCCCGGGTTGTCCTGTTGAGGCTGACCCTGCGCCCTGGGCTGGATTTGAAGGCGATCCCCGGTAATAGGCCACGTTTATATGCATCAGGCCGAGTGCCAAGCGTTCTCAGTGTGTTCTCTGCGAGTCATCACTAGTGGGAGGGAGGGAGTTATGACCCCCATTTTGCAGGTGAAGAAACTCAGGCCAGAAAGCTGAGGTCATTTCGTTCAGGGACTGGGGACTGGCTGCACAGGCCCCCTGCCCACAGCCCCCTTTACTGCAAGCTCCTGAGGAACAAGCCCAGCTTTCCTGGGTTTTTCCGGGGCCATTTACTGCGTGTTCACTGTGTGTGTGGTACTCTGGTGAAGACTTTGCTTGCTTCATCATCAATTCTCCACATTAACCCCATGGAGTTATTATTCCTTCACCTCACTTTTCAGATAAGAAAACTGAGGTTCTGGGAGCTAGAGCCTATTGCCCTCAGAGACCAGCTCTGCTGCCCACCCACAGTATAGACCTCATGCCCTGCCCAGCTCTGGGCTCTCCTGGTCATTTCTACTCAGCGCTACCCTGACCGACTTTCTATGTCCAGTTGTGTGCCTGGAGGAGAAGCAACAGCCAGAAGTGGTACTTGTTACTGCTATATCCGAAGATGGGGGAAGCGAGCCTCAGTTTTGTCCTCTGTGAAAGGAGATACTCAGAGCTGTCGCACTTTAAAAAAATAGATGCTTTTTTGAGGTTTTGGTGAAAGTTTGCACACCAAGTTAGGTTCCCATCTGATCATTTTCACACAGTGTTCAGTGACGTGTCTTGTGTTTATTACAATGTATCCACATTCTCTTTTAATTTTGTTTTGGTTGTATCCTTTCCAGTATGTTAGTTTCCCTGCACTATTCTCTTCTCATATTTGCTTTTGAGTAATAGTTGACCTTTTGGTCTTATATTGGTAGTTTTAAAGTAGGGCCCTGATCTTACGGCTAATATTCTTTATTTTGTGTGCCATCACTATTTTGCAAAAAGCTGATCTCAGGGGATAGGCTCAGCACTACGTGTTTTTTTTTTTTTTTTTAAATGTTTCTTTGTGAATTATGTGATAGTTTACATGGGAGAACATTAGCTTTACGTTCATCCTATCTTGTACCGTTACATTGCCATGGTTACAATCCCCTCCATGAATCATCACCCAACCAAAGCCTGCCCCCTGGTTGTCAGCACACAGCCCCTCTCCCTCTCTGGGTCTAAAGTCCCCAGCTGCTCCATCTCCATGTCATTGTCTCTGCCTCCATCTCTGGCATCACTGCTTCTCTGGGTAGGGTCCGCTCTTCTCCCTTGATGGTGGTCCTAGGGACCTCCGCTCCTAGACTGCAAAATCAGTCACTCCCCTCCTTTTGCTACAAAACATCAGCTCTAGGTTTAAAGAGAGCTGCTGCTCTCAGAAGGAGCCCTCATGGTGGAGTAAGTTACATGTTGGGTTGTTCACCTCAGAGTTTGTTGTTGAAACCCACCAGCCTCCTAGGGAGAAAGATGACGAGGTCTGCGCTTGTAAAGGTTTATAGTGTCAGAAACCCTGGGGAATAGTTGTGCTTTGCCTTAAAGGGTCACTCTGAATCGGGACTGACTTGATAGCATTGGGTTTGGGTATCATACTAGGAGCCCTGGTGATGCTGTGGACTAAACATTGGGCAGCTAACCAAAAGGTTGGAGGTTTGAATCCACCAGCTGCTCTGAGGGAGAAAGATGTGGTCCTCTACTTCCATAAAGATTAGAGTCTCAGGAGCCCTATAGGGCAGTTCTACTCTGTCCTGTCGGGTGACTGGGAGTCGGAATTGTATGTGTCGGCATCAGCTCAGCGACAGTGGGTGTCACACCGCATAATGGCTATGTCCCAGGTGATGCCCAAGCATGGCACAGATGTGAGCACATTTGGTCCTTACTGCAACCATGTAGGAGGGCATTCTCTCCATTTTACAGGTGAGAAACCTGAGGTCCAGGGAAGGCAGGTCATGCGAGGGGCTTCAGAAAGGTCATGGGAAACAGGAGGGAAAAGATAATGGGGTTTTCCTACGAACTTCTTGAAGCCCCCTCAAACATTGAGTAAGTGGCAGAGCCGGATTTGAACCCAGGTAGTCTGCCAGATGCATGCTTGGCATCACTCCTGTCTCCCAGGCACACTCTGCTCCACCACCCTGGATTGTTTCCTTCCAAGGGATCAGTGAGTGCAGTGATCTTATTGCTTATTTAGTCCTTGTCGCTATAGGATAAGCACTGGACTGGTATCTGTAAGGTCAGCAGTTCAAACCCATCAGCTGCTTCCGTAAAGATTTACCGCCTCAGCAACCCTATACAGAGTTGCTTTGAGATGAAATTGACAAAGCGACGGTGAGGTTGGGTTTTTGTTTGTTTGTTTGTTAGTTTGAGTGCAGCTCTGTCCCTTCCTAGAATGTCAGCTCCCTAAAGGAGGGCCTGTGACACATGGCGGGTGCACAGCAGATTGGCAGAGTGAAAGCATGTCCCTATACTGGTGTTGGATTAGGGCCCCAAGGTGACGTCTGGTAGCATAGCTCCAGCTGAAGTCCTCTCCCCTTAACCTACAGGCCGTGTGTACTACTTCAATCACATCACTAATGCCAGCCAGTGGGAGCGACCCAGCGGCAACAGCAGTGGTGGTGGCAAAAATGGGCAGGGGGAGCCTACCAGGGTTCGCTGCTCTCACCTGCTGGTCAAGCACAGCCAGTCACGACGACCCTCGTCCTGGCGGCAGGACAAAATCACCCGAACCAAGGAGGAGGCCCTGGAACTGATCAACGGTAAGCAGGCTTGGGGTCCTCAGTCTAGAGGGCTAGACAAGCCTTATGGAAATCAGAACAGCCCCTGTGCCCCGGGCAGTCCCCACGTCAGACACAGGCTTGGCTAACACAGAAGTGCCTGTGTGTAATGTGACCCTGGCCCACACAGCCACCTCTCAGTTTCTTTCTATCTGGCATTTCCAGTTTAAGCCCAGGGAGGAGTGGAGGACGCAGCCCTGAAAGCTGGGCTCAGGGAGTAGCTGTGGCCTGCAAGCTCCATGACCTTGGGGGCCTTGGCTTACCTCCCTGAGACTCACTCTCCTCCTCTGTCAAATGGGCATCCGAATATTCCTGGGTCAGGGCCACTGAAAATCCGGGGGAATGAGGCTATGCCAGGTGTGCAGTAGGCTCTCAGTACATGGGAGCGATTGTCAGTAAACAAGGCAGGCATGGGCTTACTTGTGCTTACTTACTAATTTATAGTGAGAATTTTTACTTTTTTTTTTTTTTTTTTTAATTGTTTCAAAGGTTCTGCTTCTAGGTCTGGCTGGCATCTGTCTCTCTCAAGCCCACAGTACCTGCGTACAGAATCAAAGTGTGTTACCAAATTTACAATCCCTGACAGAGATGGGAGGACCAGTTAAGCCCCTTGCTTTTGCTTATTGGGTTAGCCATCCCTGGCTGTTGTTAATAGTAGTATATTGTTAGGCAGCTTAGGTGGATCTGGAAGGATCAGAAATGTAGCAAGCACAAAACTAGCCAGTGGAGTTGTGAGTTAATTCTGACCTGACGGAGGAGCCTCTGCCCTGTTCTGTTTATGTTTCTTCCAGTCTAGAGCAGGGGTCTCCAAACGGATTCTTAATAGGCCAGATGGTAAATATTTTAAGCTCTACAAGCCATATGGTCTCTGTCAAAACTACTTAGCTCTGCTGATAAGCGCAAGGGTCGGAGTAGACAAAATTTCTACAGTGGACAGGGCTGTGTTCCAGTAAAACTTTATTTACAGGAAATGGGCACAGTTTTTAGAACCTTGGTCTAGAGCTGCCCGCTATGGCTGCCTCTCCCTCCATGCAACACTTCCAATTGAAGTAAAGTACAGCACTGCTGAAATGCAGTGCCTCCGTCTCGCTAGCCACCCTCAGGACCAGCATGCCTATCAAACATTTCCATCAGTAACAGACAGTGCGGCTGTGGCTCTCGTGTTGTGTCATCGTCCATGTATCCTCTCCCACCAGAGTCCCCAAGGCCCCCGGTGCTGCTCCTACCCCACACAACTAGCATCTCCCACACACAGACAGCCGGGGTTCCAATCTGGCTTTGTGACTCTAAACAAGTTGTTTAACATTTCTGAGCCTCAATACTTTTCACCTGTAAAATTAGTGCTATAATAACGGGACCCCTATCCTTTACTCACAATCAAGCAGGGGTCACAAGCATCTGGCATCTAGTAAATGTGCTCTCATTGTTAGCAGTCTTTGTGGTGGTTTGTAGCACAGCCTGGCAGTGCTGGCTTCTGTTTACTGTCACTCTGTGTGGTCCAGTCTGTGGTTTGTAGGCTGTTCCTCACACACACAGACACGCACACACGCATGCACCGTATAGTGACTGGCACAACATAAGCCAGGTTCTTGGAAAACTCTTAAAGGCAGATTACAGAGCACGGCTCCTAAGCTCTGTGAGGCAGCGACTGAATCTGTCTCCCCACTGTGTTTCCCCCTGCCCAGCCTGGAGTCAGCTCTCCAAACACTGTTTTATGAACCAGTAAGTAGCAGGAGGGATTCCAGGCCAAGGAAACCATAGAAGTAAAGGCCTGCAGATTGAGTGTGGCCTGAAATCTGGGGAATGCCTTGTAGGCGATGAGACTGCAGCCTTGTATGAGCCATTTTCTGGAGGCTGTAGGAAACATACTCCCTGTGACCAGGAGAGGGTTTCCGCAGAACCTTGCCTCCAGAGTGGAGAACTTTGGCTGGAATGTGGAGCTGGAAAGCCCAGATCCTAGGCTACCAGGGTCAGACAGCCGTGTGTCAGGGGTTCTAGCTGTTCCTGGGATAGGAGAAAACAGGTGGAGAAAGTCCAGTGGAATCATGAAATGACCTTGGGGGTCCTCCTAGCTCTACTAGTCCCTCATCTGAGGCCTCTGGACCTTATAGTAAGCAGTCATGCGTAGGCACTCGGAGATGAGCGGCAGGAGTTGCCCTTGATGGTAGAAGGGACAAGAGGGAGAATGCAGCCTGGGGCCTGAGGAAGACACTGGGGAGGCAGCTGAGGAGAGGGCCTGGGCTGGAGACCGAAACTCGGGGGGGCAGCTGGGGACTGGACAGGCGGAAGGAAGTACAGTGGGCATGGCTTGGGAGGAGAGCTGTCAGGCTGTGAAAAGTGTCGGAGTGGTGTCAGGGTGACTCCCCTTTTTAGAGCTGACACTGCGGTGGGACTCAGGGGTTCTTGGAGAAGCCAGGCTGGGCCCTCTGGCCTAAGCTCGAATTGATGCAGACTGGGTGTTAGCAGGAGCCGAGCACACATCTGCCTGCCCTGGGCCCAGTCGAAGCTGTGACAGTAATTGCAGCCGGAGGTGATTTGGCTTAAACTGGGTGGGGCCTGTGGGAGGCTGGAAGGGGTAGATTCTAGAGCAATTGAGGAAGAAGAATCAAGAGGACTTGGTGATGGGTAGGTGGGTAGAAGATGGATCTCTAGAAGGATAGAAAAGGTCAGGTCACCCAGCTGTGTGCCCTCAAGTGTCTATGTCTTTTAGAGCCTCAGTTGGTCTATCTGTAGAATGGGGGCAGGGTAGCCATGACGATGGAGGAGAGGCACAGAGCAGAGTCCTCAGATGGGCCTGGTGGTCTGGCACTTGGGGTCTACCCAACCACTTTGTCCCTAAACCCACAGCTGTTCACTCAGGCTCTCGTGGTAAAGGGAGCTGAGGTCAGGATAAGGTGGGAGGCTCAGGGGCTGCCCTGGCTCTGCCCCCTTTGCCTAGGGGAAGAGCTCTAGGCCGGGATGCCAGAGGACCTTGGGCTTCTAAGCTCCCTCTCCTGGCCTCAGCACCTTCCTGTCTGAGATGCCTGAGGCCTGCGTTCTTTGAGCCCCTGGGCCTTGCATTCCCTTCCACGGAAGTGCCTCTTCCTCCAGCCAACAGCAGTTCACCATAATCCTTTTAAGGCCTGCCTCCCCTCTGCCCTGAGACTTCCCACAGTGAGAGCCAGTGCCTCCGTTTTCTGCTGAGACTCCCTTTCCTGACCGCCATTCTTCCGCAGCTGTTGGGCTTCGGCCAGAGGTTGGCAGGGATGTGAGGACCGGCTGGGTCCTTGTCTAAGGAGACCAGGCTGTGGAGAAGCCCTCCTCCCCTTTGCTTTCCCTAACCCCCAGCCCCCACGTTTGCATGCCCAGGGCCTGAGGACCAATGACTTCCTTTGACCTGGTGTCCTGGGCTTGGCAGCACCCTACTGGCTGGATCTAGGGCCTTCTGGGATCTCTTTCCCCACCAGACCCTTTCCCCTGTGACGCCTGGGTGGCTGTGGCTGGAAACAGCTGTGTTGACTTGGTGGCCAGGGTGGGTGATTGTAAACCATTACAGAGCCCGGGACCACTTCATTTGCTCCCTCACTCATCCCTGAAGTCTGTGTGGATTGCTCACTGCTAACTGGTGTCTGAAGGGGTCCCGTTCTGCAGCAGGCACTGCTTCAAGCAGAAACTTGCTGACTTCTCACAACAGCCTTCCATGTTGGAAGCTGTTACCACCCTGTTTCCCAGCTTAGCCAAGGAAGGCTCCAAGAAGCCAAGTCTCCCACCAGGGTCACGGCCCAGGAGTGGCATTGATGTGGCCTGAACCCAGCATGGAGGCATTGATGTGGCCTGCCCTCCTTGGCCTTGGGGACACACTGTGCTCAGGCTTCTTCCTGGGCTGCTGGCAGAGACACATTACTGCGGAGTTTCCTAGAGCAGCCCGAGGCCTCTCTCTGAGCTGGAGTTCCTGAGAGAGAAACTGCCCTGGCTCTGCATGCTTCCTCACCAGCTGAGAACTCGATGGGGCTGTCAGTGAGGTGTGTTGTCCCGGAAAGGACTGAGGGGTATCAGCGTTTCTGAAGACTGGCTGTGGTTGTCCCCTTTCCTTCCAGTCTGGTTCCCTCCTTCCCTGTGGCCTGTTTCTGTCTCCTGCACTCATTTGCCCCTTAACCATTGGTGAGCACCTGAACTGTGCACAGTGTTGGGTGCTGGCTGGATTTGCCGCATTGAGCAAAGCCGACTGGGCCCTTCCTTACAGTGTGAGGCTGGTGATATGCAGGCCGACAGCACCATGGCAGGCGTGGCACCCATAGGAGGCCCCTTTGCATCCAGGGTTCTAGGGAAGGCTCTGGGTGAAGCAGGCTCGGGACATACAGGGCTCTGATGGTGGCAGGGTCTTCGGTCAGCCTTGGAGAGTAGCCTGTGGGAGAGGGAACCCAGGAGGAAGCGTTTTGTAGAACATCTCTTCAAGCACCTTCCAGAGAAGCCTGTTTTTTGAGTGAGCTGACTGATCGGCCGAGGGACTGGGGGCTCCGATGGCTGGCTATTAGTCAGTGTGTAGGAGACGGTGCTACGCCCACTCTGTGTGTGCCTCATGGACAAGATGCAGCCCATAGGATGTCCTCCCTGATGTTGGGAGGACAGTGCTCTGGGCTGGGCTGGGCTGGGGAACGTTCTCACAGGCAGGTACACCTTGGGGGGCACCATGAGCTCAGAACTTCCCAGCTATATAGTTGAGGCCAAGGGAACTATCATTTCAGGTTAGAGTCACTGATTGACACGGTACTGACCCATGGAGGCATTGTGGGCGGTAACCACTGCATTGTGCCATTCGTGGTGACGGTCAGACCAGACAAAGAGAAGTCCACTCAAAAGGGAGAATGGTGACGGTTGTTGAGGCTTCATTCTGTGCCAGGTTTAGTGCTGCTGCCAGACATCCGCTGGGCGGGTCCCAAGGCCTGCTGACGAGTGCTCGATGGTCAGACAGGGCAGGGGTGACAGGTGGGCGCAACGAGTGCTCTCAGTGGGATTCCACTGAAGGAAGCCCCAGGCAGATGGATTGCTGTGGCATTTAGGTCACGGGAGTATCAAACCCAGGTCCCAGTGAAGTTTGGACCAGACCAGTATCAAGCATTCATTCTCAGCTGTGTGTCTGCCAGTGTTGTATCCCTCACTCCCATGGCATCTAACGAGTAGTTCGTCATTGTGGTGCTCAGGTGGGTACCAGACGCCTTAGATCAGACAGTTTGGAGACTGGCAGACTGTCCCTGACAACCTCCTTTGAGTGCCAGAGCTGATGCTTGGAGCCGGACTGGGGAACAATTGGGGGTGAGGTCGGGGGAGTCGAGGCCCTGGTGTCCAGGAGCCCCTGGACTCAGGAGAGTGGCTAGCAGTCCCCACCCACCCCGCGTACTCACACTCCACATGAGATGCTCACAATGCTGCCTGACACCCTATACCGGACCCCTTATCTCCGTCTACTCTTCTCAGCCCTGGCCTCCTCCCCCTACCAGGGGGCTCTTACCTGACGGGGATGCTATGGGCTGTGCAGAGGGTAAGCCTCATCTCTACCAGCGCATCATCTGTTGAGATCTGGGAGGAGAGCTGTGCCCGGCTGCCTCGGGAGGGCTCTGGAGCATAGCCCACAAGAATGACATGTTCCTTCCAGAGTGTCACTGGGGCTACCTCGGGGTCTCCTTACAATACCCCAGTGAGCCACCAGGGCGTTCCTCCCACTTTCGAAAGATGAGACAGCTAAGGCCCACAGCCCTGAATGCCTACCTTTCTCCTCCGCCTGCTCAGAAAGCTTTCCCTTGACTGCCTTAGCGATCCCAGGTTCCAGCCCACTGCTGTTGGTTCAGCCTCCCTTTCCCACTTCTCCCTGGCTATTCTCCCCCCAACCCCCAATAGGGCCTAGAAGATTCTCTCTCAAAGTGTATGTGTGTGGAATGGGAAGAGGTCATGTTACATTTGTCCAGCCATGTGTGTGTGTGTTACGTTAGCGTGATCAAAGGGTGGGCTGTTGGGGTTGAGCGCAAGGTCACATGGAGAGATGGCACAGTGTGCATTGTGGGTGCATACCTCCTCACGGACATGTGTCACTCCGATGTGATGTGTGCCTGCAGAGAGGTGTTTGTAGATGTGTGTTAGTGTGTTTGGAAAGACTGTGTGTGGGTGCTGTAGAGATGGATGTGAGAGTGTGTGTGAGGCATGTGCACATGCGCACACAGATGCACATACAGTCGGGCCAGCATCTCAGGAGCATTCTCCCCTGTGTCCACAGGGTACATCCAGAAGATCAAGTCGGGAGAGGATGACTTTGAATCTCTGGCCTCACAGTTCAGTGACTGCAGCTCGGCTAAAGCCAGGGGAGATCTGGGTGCCTTCAGCAGAGGTGTGCAAGGCATGGGCACCACTAGCCACCCTCCATCCACCAATGGGGTCCCGGCCCTCCATGGGGTAGAAGTGGGGAGGGGTGACCACAGTGGTACAGGCCTCCTAGGTCCACCAGGTGGCAGCAGTCCCTCCAGGTGTCAGAGACTGCCCGGGGCTGGGAGTGAGGGGGCGCAGCACTGGGCACCCGGGGAGGATTATCCTTCCTGGAGGTGTCACTGTGTCTGCAGTGTCCCCATGACGGGCCCCTCGGGCACAGCCTGCATTGGGGTCTCCTGTTGAGAATCCCAGCACAGGTCCCCCAGAGCTCCCTCCCCCTGACCTCTCAGCTTCCCAGGGGTGAGGGTGGCAGGGCCAGATTAGAGATCCATGTGTAGACCCATCTGGTGGGGCAGGGCTGGGGGTGGAGGCCCAGGATTGGGGGCTATGTTCTCCAGAGAGCTGGCCAGGGGCTTTGGGCCACCCCGAGGAAGCGGGCATGACAGGTGATGTGTAGCTGTGGCTAGGAACCAGGCCAGGAAGACAGGCTCATCACCAAAATGGGTCTCTAAATGCAGCAGTGGCGGCTCCGCCTGCCATCCTTCATGCTGTCTGAGGCTTCCTGGGGCCTTAATGGCCCCCCTGCCCCCGCTGGGCTGAAGCTCCACACTGTGATGGCCATAAACCTGGTGATGGATGAGTCAGAGGCTCAGTGTCGGCAGAGCCCCGGCTGCTCCCTCTGTGCGCTCTGGCTTTGTGCTGGCCTGCACTTGGCCCCCACCCACTCCCCGCCCCTCATGGTTCCCCCAGGCCAGATGCAGAAGCCATTTGAAGACGCCTCGTTTGCGCTGCGGACAGGGGAGATGAGCGGGCCGGTGTTCACAGATTCCGGCATCCACATCATCCTGCGCACCGAGTGAGGCCGAGCACAGCCTGGGCCCACCGCCCGGCTCTCCTCCCCATGCAGGTCATACAGTATTTATTCTTCCCACAATGGCTTGGAGGGGGCTCTGGGGCCCTTGTCCGCTCCCTGTTGGGGTGATCCCTGCTAGACTCCACCCTCTGCATCTTAAGGAATTGACTTCAGAAAGGCCATGGGGGAGGGAAGGGGGCTTCCAGACGCAGGGACAGGCAATGACCTGTCTCAAAGAGGAGGCCTAGTCCTCTGGGCCGCCCCTCCCCCAGCCCAGGAGGGCAGGAGGGCAGGAGAGGTGGTTTCTAGTCATGCTGTATTCCTCTCTTCAGCTGCAAAACGCAGATGCCTGACGTGGGGGCTTTGGGTGGCCTGGCTCTTGGGCCCTCTCAGAGGGTAAGCCAGCACCCTCCCCCACCCAACATTAAACCTTGGAACCACTGCTCTTGCCTCCTGTGTTTCATTTCCACATTGGTGAGGCTGGGGTGGGAGGTAGACAGAGGGGATGCCAGTGTCCTCCCCTGGGAACTGGCTCCTGGGTCTGGGAAGGTCCTGACAGGAAACCTGCCCAACTGCCAGACCTGCAGGAAGCAGGAGTGGGGAGCAGAGAGGCAGGAGTGGCATCAGCTCCCTTCCCCAGGATGGAGCCAGGGTCTGTAGGGAGTTCTGGGAGAGCCACATTGAGACCCTCTGCCTTGGGGGCTCCTCTGGCAAGCCTGTTTACCACCACCCTACCACGCCCAGCCCCAGACTGCTCACCAGTTAGAAGGACTCAAGCCCAGCCCCCTGGAGCCTTCTTCCATCACTGCAAACTCTTGTGGCAGGTGGTTCTCAAGTCCAGCTGCCTGCCCCAGCATCCTCTGGACACTGTTACCATGGCAGCAGGGGACCCAGGCTGCAGGGGGTGGGGGCTACTTTCAGGGTTCTAGTACAGGCCTCTCTGGGGAGGGGGGTCTTTGTGTTGGGAGCATTGGGGTGGGGAGCTGTCAAGATGCAGAGGAGATCCCTGAGCGTGGGGTGGGGGAGGGGTGGGCAGATGGTCGGGACCTTGTTCTTGGCTCTTCCTCCTTCCTGGAAACCCCTGTCGGGGTAGGTGGCTGGGGATGTGACGGGCCCATCACCTCACAGCTGCCCCTGTGCCTGGGCTGGGTGTTAAATCAGGCAGTGTTGGGTGGTATTGATCTCTTAGAGGTGGTTATGTTCCCTCCTCCCTCCACTCCCCTTAATGCACATCAGCCCAGATCATGGCTGTCCAGTCTGCTGGCTGGGCTTAGCAGAATAAAGACCTGCCTAACATGACCCCAACGGAAGCCTCCTCAGGGCTGAGTTTCCACCACCTCATAAACAATCACCTTGCCCAATCCCATCTGGCTGGCTTCTGGAGCAATCGCTCTGCTCTGCCGGCTGCCTGCCGGGCGTTTGTCATTAGGAAGGTTTAATGAATTTTCCTCTCAGCTCTGGTGGGGTGGGAAGAACTGCTGGGTTGTCTACACCTCCAGGCAGAATTTTCTCCCATGGATGGTGGGGCCAGGAGGCAGAGGGCAGCCTCACAGTTTGCGCCAAGAGTTCTGGCGGTGCTGGGGAAGCGATCCTATGCCTACTGGGAGTGTGGGGCCTCAGATCAGAAGTGAATGGCACTGGGGTGCCATCACACAATGGTGCACCTGTGGCTTCTCCTTCCTTTGTCTGTCTGCAGTGGCCAAAATATTGATAAGAATGACAGTTGCCGTTAGATAAACATGCCCTCAGAGCCCACTCAGTGTTCCGGTGATTCATTATTAAGTAGATCTGGTTTCTCTCACCTGCTCCACATTCCCACCCACCTCTTCCCCTCCCGAAATTGAGGCTGTAAATTTCAGAACTTTAGGATAGTGACAAGGAGCCCTTGGTAGGATAGTGGATTATGTGTTGGGCTGCTAACAGCAAAGTCAGCAGTTTGAATCCACCAGCTGCTCCGAGAAATGGGTCTTTCTGCTCCTGTAATGATTTACAGCTTTGTAAGTTTTGTGTTGCTGTTGAGTTAGTTCCAACTCATAGCGGCCCTGTACAGGGTTTCTGAGGAGTGGCTGGTGAGCGTGAACTGCTGATCCTGCGGTTCAAACTGACCTTGCAGTGTCACACCAGGACTCCCGGAAGCCCTACACAGGGTTGCTGTGAGTCAGAAACTCCTCCTTGGCACACCACCACCATCCTGATGAAAGGGTAGTCTTGTCTCTGTCTCTTACCAACATCTCCCAAACTAGACTCCTCCCCCAAAGGGCTGATTTCCACCTGCCTGCCTGCCCTATACAGATGGTGCAGTTAACACACTCAGCTGCTAACAAGAAGGTTGGCAGTTCGTGTCACCCAGGGGCACTGTAGAAGAAAGGCTTGCTTATCTACTTCCAAACAATTCTGCTATTGAAAACCATATGGAGTGCAGCTCTACTCTGATAAGCCTGAGGTTGCTGTGAGTCCATTCTGATTACTGGCAACTGGTTCTGGGGCCACATGCATCTACTTAGGCTGTGGTGGCCAGGAGGGCAGGGTTCACTTCAAGTTGGGGTAACTCACTTGCCACTTTGGGTTGGGTGTTGGCTTCCCAATTGTAGCCAAGTGCCCATTCGTAAATAGAGGAAGTCAGAGTTCACAGTTGGCTTTGGACACATTGGGGTTATCTTGGCCTCAGTGGGGCTTTGGGAACCCTCTCTGGCCCACTCTTGGTTGGAACAAAAGCCACAAACACAAAAGTGGAAGGAGTGCCTATGGTATGTGTTTGGGAGAAGAAATATGAATGGTTGGGATGCCGTGCACCTGCAGGTACCTGCTGAGGGACGATGCGCAGATGTGACAGACAGACACCCCCACCCCCAGTCCTGTTCTCCATGTAAGGATGCGGCTCTCCAGGTCTAGGTGTATTTTGGACCAATATTTCAGGCTTCTGACCTGACTTTGGGACGCCCCGACTGAGCGATGGATCTCCCTCCAGTCATTTGTCTCCAATAAATGTAAATGGCAGGGAGGGGTACAGATATTCTAAGTATGGAAGTCCTCCCCCCCCCCCCCCGTTTTTTAAGCAAGCATGGAGCAAAGTGCCTCTCAATGTGCTAATCCAGGAATCGATTTGTTTTCTATGTCAAATTTGTTAATTTAAATGGAAATTAATTGCTTTTCTTGAAGATTTCTGTAGAAATTGGTTTCAAATGAGCGCATTAGGCAGTCACATTTATTATTCATTCGTTTTGTTCCCAACATGGCCTGGTGTCCGAGTTCCCGGAGATCCCAGTACGTAGCAGAGATGATTTAATCAAGGGAGCCATTCATTAGAGATGGGACAGGGTAGGGGAGTCTTCCCCAAGGAGGGGCAGCTCCTCCTCTCTCTTCCATCAGTGGAGTGGAGATGGGCCCTTTAGGGTGCTTTTCATAATGTTCCTCAGTGGGGGTCATGAGTTGGGAGCATTAGGGGTCTCCTTGCACCACCTCCTCACTGTATTTATGGGTTAAATCACAGGATGAAAACTTGACCCCAAAGATAAATGTCCTCAGTCCCTGCTCTCCTTCCCACCACCACACCCCTTGACACCTCGCTGGTCTCTGGTGCCAGTCCATTCATCCAGACCATCAGATCTGGTTAATGGAGACCCTCATCTTGCTCTTCCCCCTCTGTGACTCCCAGCTCCCCTTTAGCCATATCTCCAAGACTCAGGATTTGGCTCAGCCTTCAACCCCTTCCCGACATCCTCACCATCTCCTGCCACCAAGACTTCCTGTTTCTGCCTGTCTTACCCCATGTTGGAGCCCGTACCTGCCCAAGCCCCTGCAAGACATGGATTCCAGGCATAGGATGTGGGTGTTTCCACTGAAGGCACTAAATGTACCTTTCTGCTGGTTCTAGCTTTTTTGTTGTTAGTTAGAACAGATGCAACTCGCCCTAAAATGGTTTTGAAGTTTCAAAGTAAAAAGAAAAAAGAGAAAAATATCCACATTTGTAAAAGCAGCCAAATTGTTTAAAAAAAAAAAAAAAAACATCAAAAAGTTGCCAGACGGCTCTGATAATGCACCAGCTTGATCAATAAGTGAAAAAAAGCCTATGATGGAGAATATTCATTTGAGGCCAATTTTCATCATTGTGATAAACTCCTTGGTTGTTTTGATCAAATTGCTTTTAAACAAATTGTTTTCAATCGAAACAAACAGTTTTGAATTGGGTCTCTTCACCCATCTCCCCAAAGGGCTCACCCTCAATATGGATGAGTGCCAATCCCAGCCCCCCACAGCCCCAATGTTGAAGTTGCCTTTCTCAGTTCTCAGTCTGAGTCATGCTGGCCCCTTCCCCCTCTGTCCCTAATGGACACACAGAGCCACCAGAGCGTCTAATGTCAAAGGTTCCGTTTATTCCGGCAACCCCGGAAAGAAAAAGTGTAAATAAAAAAAGGATCAGATCCATGCACTCAACTCCTTTGAGAGAGGGGTGGGAGTAAAGGGAGGGGAATAGGTGGGAAGCAGAGAGAAAAACCAAAGAGAAGCAGAGATGGGGAATAAGAACTGGGAAGTCACTGATAAAAAGAGGCAGAAAGAAACAGAGGGCTAGCCAAGAAAAAGAAGGCAGACAAAGAAGAGTATCAAAAGAGATCAATAAAAGAGAAAGGACAGAAATGGAAGAATGCATTGAGGGAAATAGAGAAGCAGAGAACAAGCTTGGCAGAAAGGCAGGAAAAGCAAACGAAGTTCAGGGAAGGAGAGAGAGGACACCACAGACAAAGATCATTTGTAAGGGATGCAGGCAGAGTGGAGAGGACCCCTGTGGCCTTTGGGCGGCCCCTAGGGGTCCCCAGCTGTGCTGATGACGTGGAAGAGTGTGACGTTGTAGAGCACCTGGTGGCCATTATTCCAGGTGTAGAGTGCACGCTCCCGGGGGTTGTAATCCAGCATGGAGATGTGGGAGTACTGATTGTGGAAAGGCACGTCCGTGTACTCGTAACTGGACGTGTTGGTGAAGTAGGCGAAATAGACCTTGGCCCCAGCCAGGTGGGAGTTGGTCACGTAGAG